GGCATGATGTCAGCTCACTGTAACCTCTGCTTCCTGGGTTCAAGTGATTCTCCTGCCTCAGCCTCCAGAGTTGCTGGTTCTCCAGGTATGTACCACCATGCAACACTAATTTTTGTGTTTTTAGTAGAGATGAGGTTTCACCATGTTGGCCAGGCTGGTCTCGAACTCCTGACCTCCAGTGACCCACTTACCTCGGCCTCCTAAAATACTGGGATTACAAGCGTGAGCCACTGCACCCCGCCTGATCCACACTTCCCTAATGATTATATCCAGCATCTTTTCATGTGCTAACTGGCCATTTGTTAGTGGTTTTTGCTTCTTTTAAAAACTGCTGAGACACCCATAAACATTTTCAAAATGCAGAGTATGTTTTTCAGTGTTAAGGCAACTGTTTTGATGTGTTTTCCTTTGCTCTCTATCACCAAATACTGTACATACAAATAGTAAGACTGGGCTTTGTGCTGTCCATCATTAATCCTAAATGCCACAAAACACATGGAGACTTTGAAAATCCTTCAGAATAATGCTATAGATTTTGCTAAAGCAAGTGTTTTTTTCTAACTCTTTGAGCTGTATATTGCCTTGAGTAATCACCATCCGGATTGTGCCCTCTTCGGTGGCACTTTTGTTTCTTTTGAATTCTTCCCTTGCCCAATCCTTCAGGTATTTGCTATCAGAGTCATTTGGAACTTGCCAAATTGTTTGCAAAACCCTTCTGTAGAGAAGAACTTGTTGCCTTCTTATGAACTGCTTTAATGTTAGCATGGTTGAGGGTAACCAGGAGGCGGCCGTGACCACCAGCGGTCCGCCGGAGCCTCAGCGAAGACATGGACTTTCTATTTGGTCAAAGTGGCAGGTGTGTTTTGTTTCCTGGCTGGATGAAGTCAGAAGTTTCTGGATGAGGATAGCATCACGTTGCTGAGAGACCATGACAACTCTGAAGACCCCAGGATCTTCCAGGGGCCCTGGTTGTGATAGGGATCAGGTCTCTAACTCATAAAAATGTGTCTTCAGGTAAAGTTGCTCCCCTTTGCCCTTGAACTCACACATGGAAGGGAGCTCCTTTGTGTTTCTTAGTCTCTGCTGGGAAAAGGAGCTAAGAAACTAGGAGAGGCTCCGTGGTGAACAGGGATGGTAAGCACTTTGTTTCTATGAGGTATCAGCAAACTTCTCTAGGTAAATCAGGGTGGATGCCCTGGTGCTGAAGATAGCCCAGCTCCCTCTGTCCTGGGAACTGCCTGGGTGCTTGCTTTTTTTTTTTTTTTTTTGAGATGGAGTTTTGCTCTGTTGCCCCAGCCCAGGCTGGATTACAGTGGCGCGATCTCTGCTCACTGCAAGCTTCGCCTCCCGGGCTCAAGAGATTCTTCTGCCTCAGCCTCCTGAGTAGCAGGGTTTACAGGCACCCACCAACACGCCCAGCTAATTTTTGTATTTTTAGTAGAGACGGGGTTTCACCATGTTGAGTAGGCTGGTTTCAAACTCCTGACCCCAAATGATCTGCCTGCCTCGGCCTCCGAGAGTGCTGGGATTATAGGCGTGAGCCACCGCACCTGGCCCAGGTGCTTTCTTCAATAGCTGAGGCAGCTGTGGCATCCAGCCCTTGTCTCCCAGGGCCTGGCACTTTGCTCTCCTAGTCACAACTGTCAGGAGCTGGTGGTCAGAACCCATGCCCTTCTGCCCTCCTCCTCTCCTAAAGTTTCCTCCAGGAGTTCCCTCAGTTCTCTTTGGGGTGTGTATTGATGGGGTTACAGGGGATCATGGGAGAACGCCTGCTTTGTGCCTCCTGGATAAGCTGCTCATTGCTCTCTGGGTCCTTGGAAGCCTCTACTGCATGCAGGTGAAGGGAACTGAAGGGCTGGGATGTTTGGGGTTTGTACTGTAGGATGGGTGATGGGCATGGAAGGCTCTCAGTGGGGGGGACTCGGTCAGATCTGTTAGCAAGGTCACTGGGGTGGCAGGTTGGGCAAGGTTGGGCCATTTGGAGGCCATAGATGGAGCTGGTTGAGTTGTGACCCGGGGACATGTGTGCTTGAGTAGCAATGAGTCGGGGGTCCTCAGGATCCTAGTATCAGTTTATCATGCGTATTTCAGGAACCCCACCTAAGACATTCTGTCCTGGCTCCCTCTTCTCCCAAGACAGAGTCTGTGCTTTTGTTTTGTTTTTGAGACAGTCTCACTCTGTCACACAAGCTGAAGTACAGTGGTGTGATCTTAGCCCACTACAACCTCTGCCTCCTGAGTTCAAGCAATTCTCGTGCCTCATCCTCCTAAGTAGTTGGGATTACAGGTGTGCACCACCATGCCTGGCTAATTTTTGTATTTTTAGTAGAGATGGGGTTTCACCATGTTGGCCAGGATGGTCTCAAACTCCTGGTCTCAGGTGATCCACCCGCTTCGGCCTCCCAAAGTGCTGGGATTACAGGCATGAGCCACCAAGCCAGGCCCCAATTCTGTTTTCAGGCAGTTTCCTCTTCTGGAGACAGTACTGCGGAGGCTAGGAGGCTGAGCGCCATGGTGCATGTCCTCAGAGGGGCAGCAGCAGATTCCGTCTTGACCTTTGTTATTTTTCTTTTTTTTTTTTTTTTTTTTTTGAGATGGAGTTTCGGCCTTGTTACCCAGGCTGGAGTGCAATGGCGCGATCTCGGCTCACCGCAACCTCCGCCTCCCGGGTTCAGGCAATTCTCCTGCCTCAGCCTCCTGAGTAGCTGGGATTACAGGCACGTGCCACCATGCCCAGCTAATTTTTTTGTATTTTTAGTAGAGACGGGGTTTCACCATGTTGACCAGGATGGTCTCGATCTCTTGACCTCGTGATCCACCCGCCTCGGCCTCCCAAAGTGCTGGGATTACAGGCTTGAGCCACCGCGCCCAGCCTGACCTTTGTTATTTTTCTACTGGACACTTGACAATAGACATTTTGAAGAGGAGAGGGTCTCCCACCTTGCCTGCTATGTCAGTCCAGGCTGTCCACTCAGACAGACAAGACTGAGTGTAGTGAAGGAGTGACTTTTGTCCAGACATGTTTCTTGCTGGCCTTAGAAGAGTCCTTCCTGCCTCCACACTATGCTAGGAACTCTAAGGCAATCAACCCAAGTGCAGAACATGTTATTGGTGGGGAAGCAAGGAGCTTTTTTTTTTGAGATGGAGTCTCGCTGTGTCGCCCAGGCTGGAGTACAGTGGTGCGATCTTGGCTCACTGCAACCTCCACCTCCCGGGTTCAAGCGATTCTCCTGCCTCAGCCTCCCGAGTAGCTGGGACTACAGACATGCACCACCATGCCCAGGGAATTTTTGTATTTTTGGTAGAGACAGGGTTCACTATGTTGGTCAGTCTGGTCTCGAACTCCTGACCTCATAATCTGACCACCTTGGCCTCCCAAAGTGCTGGGATTATAGGCGTGAGCCACTGTGCCTGGCCAGCAGGGAACTTTTTTCTAAAGCATCATTTTTTCCCATTTCTGTTTCTCTTCTCCATTGGTTCTGTAAAATCAGTGAACGCAGATGTAGGGTAGAGATGATCCTTGCTCTGCCCCAGACCTCCTCACCAGGGTGTAGGTCTTTGGCAGAAAGGTTTTGGGAGAAATCCAACTCCCAAGCCCCGCTTGCATCTAAGCCTGCTTTAGGCGTGTAAAGCGTGTGCTGCAGTGTTAGGCGTGTGTTGCTATGGGCAGTGCACCAACATTAAATAACCGAAGGGGTTGGCAAGCAGTCTATAAAATGGAAAATGTGCGTGTGGTTTTAGGTGGTCTAAAAGTTGTAGTTTCCTTGGTTGTCTTAGTGAAGTCATTTATTTATACCAAAAAGTAGACATGTTGAGAGGTTAAAAAAAAAAGAGCCAAGGAGAGGAAGAGGTCTTTCTGAATGAATGAATTGATAGAAGAAATGGCACAACTTACAAATGTACAAAGCATTTCCGTCATCCTCCCTGTATGTTCAGATGTGTACCTAAAAATCCATTGCTCTAAAGGAAGACTATGGTGCGGAACATAGTCTTGCAGTGAGTATTACACTGAAATAAATTTTTAGCACTTATTATATGCCGGGTGGACTACATGAGCTGGCTAACATCTAAGTGAGTCACACGTGTTATTCCAGTAGTCCTCACTGAAGTAGGTGCTGTGATTATTCCAGTGTTCCTCGGCGGCTAAGAGATGTGCCTAAGGCCACTTAAGCAGCACCAGGCGCAGTGAAGCTGGGTAGAAACTCAGAATGAGCTCTAGAGCAATTACATGGCACTTGCCTTGGGGAAAAAAACAAGTGACATGTTTACTCATTTATGCAGGTGAATTTGTAACATGTACTCTTGCACCTGGACTTGGAATGCCTAATGAATAATAAGTCTAATGAAGAATATGAATATTGATGACCATAATAATAATGAATATTAATGAACACTAATGACTAATGAATAAAAAGATTTTCCACTGTTCTGAGAGTCTCCTGAGAGGTGCAGTGAGATTCGTCTCAGATGCAATTCTCCTTTGGTTCCTGAATTCTCAGGCTCCCATCAGAATCCTTGGGAGGGCTCCTAACATCTGTCTCTTTTATGAGCTTCCCAGGAGGTGGTGGTGTAGGCTAGGGGCCACACTGGGCATTAGGGGCCTTTTCCTCACACAGCACCTTCGCTGAAGGTAATTCCTTGGGGTTTCCTCTTTTAGCCCTGCTAGGCAGGTAGAGAGGTGGGAGTTGAAGACCCTGGCGTTGGTGCCAGCCATCCCAGGTTGGAGAGCTGGCCTCTGTGCTTCTTAGTCCTGGGATTCATGGCTTTACTTCTTTGAGCTACTGATTACCCATCCATACAAGTCAGGGAAAAAACAGGTCCCTCTCAGAGGACTGTCCTGAGGAGTAGGAGATCTTGCATGTAAAATAACCTGGCACTTGATGTTGCCTACTTAAATCCCAGCCGTTATTACTGTAAACTCTGCATAGAGGGAGGTCCGACGGCTGTGGGCTTTTCCAGGGTGAACTGACCTGACCACGTTCGTGTTTCTACCCTTTCAGGACGGTTCACTGGGAAACATCGATGACCTGGCGCAGCAGTATGCAGATTATTACAACACCTGTTTCTCTGACGTGTGCGAGAGGATGGAGGAGCTGCGGAAACGGCGGGTTTCCCAAGACCTGGAAGTGGTGAGTGGGGGCCCTGGGGAGGTGCTCCTGTGAGCCGGCCTGCTCCGATTTGGGCTTCTCCCTGGTCCTTCTCCCAGTGCTCGAAGTTCCTGGGGTATCAATCTGTAGGCTGCTGCACTTGTGTGGGGTAAAGAGTTCAGATCCCTAAAGGACTGACCCAGTTCTGCTGCAGTTATCAAACTGAGTAAGTGTTGGCTGGGGCAATAGGATGGAACCTTTGCATTCATTAAAAGAATAGAGTTTTATTTTATTTTATTTTAACTCAAGGGAAAAGTATGTTTTTACTATTCTCCAGTGTATACTACATTTTTTAGTGACTCTAAGCCCAAAGGGTGTCTAGGCTAGTTCCCCCCCTCCACTTTTGTTCCTTTTTTCTTTTCTCTTTTTTCTTTTCTTTCTTTGGAAAGCAAGATAAAATTTAAAGGAACAATAAATCACCTGTAGTCACTCACCTAGCAATCACCACATTGGCATTTTAGGCAGTATCCTTTCAATGTTTTTGTGGGCATTTAAAAATCCGCAAAACCAGTCCACTACGGAAGACATTTTAAAAAAAAAATCAGCAAAACAATGCTGTATCTATATATTTTTAAAAATCACTTCTTCCTTTATTACTTAACTTTTTATTATAGCTCATTCCCTGTCCTTGAGACTGCTTTGCCGTTACCGTGTTTCATGGCTATATTCTCCTCTCGCTCAGGTGCATTGAAATAAATTTGGCTGTTTGTGAAAACCTTTATGTGTATAATCAGTGGCACATTTGGACTTGTATGTGATAAACAGTAACTAAATAGCGCAGTGCTATATATATAATTTATATGTGTACTAGTAGTTGAAAATTGTATATTTGTTATAAAATATCATACTGAAGCTTCTGCATTTATCAGCTTAAATATCTTACTGTTGGATTCATTTTAGTATCGTGCCTTTCAAATAGTTTCATTTCATTATGCCAACCTCAGGACCTCCTTAAGAAGTGGGGTTGAGGCAGAAGAAAATGTTCAACCCTCTGTATCTCCCTCTCCAGACCCGTTCCTTTTGAGCCATCTCATATAGTGGGGGTTGCATGGATGTGTTTTAAATAACAGAATTCCTCTCCCTTTAAAAAATGTTTTAAAAACTGCTTATTCAATTGAACCCCAATTTATCCTTCTCCCACCTCCTATGTATCTACTTAGGGTGAGCATAAAAAAAATAATAATTAAGTAACTAATTTAGAACTAATTAAGAACAGAGAATTCTTTTGTTAATAATTACTTTTATGTTATATACAAGGGTTCTGTTCCCATTCCTCTCATGTAAAGGACCCAGCAAGTGGTTGGGAACCACTGCTATATATTCTGTAAGTGAACACAATCTGTTTCCACTGTAAGACTATGATGTTCTTATGTACTATTATTTCTTTTCTTAACCAGGTAAAGATTCCTTGGATCAGGAGTAACATGATATCATGACTGCCAAATAGTAATTGATTCTCTTTGTTTTATGTTCACCCATTTAGTAGTTGCAGGGTTGGGAGTTCAGGTTGACTGAGGCTGAGAAGTGTCATCCAGGGGCCAAGAGCCATCACCTGGGGAGCCTGACGCCTCGGCCCAGGTGGGCAGCAGTGTTGTCAAGGGCTTCTTTAACTTTGTCCCTTCACATGTGTGAATGCTGGGGTTCTTTCCTCCTTTAGAGGAAAGTAACTTCATGTGTCTAAAGACCCCCAGACACTCTCTTCTTTTCTTTTTTCCTTTCTTTTCTTTCTTTTCTTTTCTCTCAGAGTCTCGCTCGTTCCCGTGCCTCATCAGCCTCCCGAGTAGCTGGGATTACAGGCGCGCGCCACCACAACCCAGTTAATTTTTGTATTTTTAGTAGAGATGGGGTTTCACCATGTTGGCCAGGATAGTCTTGATCTCCTGATCTCGTGATCCACCTGCCTCGGCTTCGCAAAGTGCTGGGATTACAGGCGTGAGCCACCGTGCTCGGCCCACATTCTTAAAATTCATTAGGCTCTCCTGATGGAGCATAGTTAATGAAAAAATTCTTTCATTTTGTCAAGATTACCACAGGACAACTTAAATATTGCATAATGCCCTGAATTCTTGAACGTTGCAATTCTTGCCTAGATTGAAAGTCTGGTAGGATTCTTTGTGGCGTCCTCAGATGTTTTACTGTGTGAGGAAATGATTGCTGTGAACTGGCAGAAGACGGTTGGCACAACACTAAACTGCTCTTCTCAGGATTCTAGCTGGTTAGGAGCTGGGGTTACCATCGGCATCCCCTGGTTTTCGGGAACCTTGGAAGGCAGCTTCCAGGTAAGAGAGAAAGCTTGCCTATTGGTGGGATAAATAGCCTCCTTCTCATTCAGACAGCTGGAGCTAATTTGGTGCACTCTGTTTCAGAACCACAAAAGATAGTCTGGGGGGAGAAAACACCACATGAGCTTAATTAGTTCCCATGAAAGGTGCAAGAGTTTGGTGGTGGGTAAAATTGTTGGGAGCTGATTCAAGCCGGGCTGGAAGCATGACTGTTCATTCTTTAAATTGTAGTTAGCAAGTAAGACCCCAAGTTGGCATATTCACATTCTCTTTCCACGAAGTTCCAGACAAGTTGCAATGGAAGAGGGAAATTCTAAAGCTGGCAAGGATCAGGTTAGGTGTCAGATGTTTCATGTGTCAATCACATGACTGGAGTCTAGATGTCTGTGTTAGGTGTGTTTTGAAGTTAGTCATCATTTAGGCTAGGCACACAACACCGTCAGCCTACTGAAACTTCCCTCTCACAGTGCTTAGCTCATCACACGCTTGACTCCTGCTGGGAACTAATTTCCTTGAAAAGCTGTGACTTCCCATCTGTAATGTTCCCTTTTATTGCATCAGAATTTTACATATGTTTCTAATCTTTCAATTCTGCCTTCAGACAAGTAAATAATCTGCCTTCCCTTCGGCTGTTTGGTTGGAGCAACTTCAGGTCTGAGGACCTGCGGTTTAATAATTAATTTCTTTCCTTCTTTCTTTTTTTGAAACAGAGTTTTGCTCTTGTTGCCCAGGTTGGAGTACAATGGCACCATCTTGGCCCACTGCAACCTCTACCTCCCGGGTTCAAGCGATTTTCCTGTCTTAGCCTCCCAAGTAGCTGGGATTATAGGTGTGCGCTACCACTCCCAGCTAATATTTTGTATTTAGTAGAGACAGGGTTTCACCATGTTGGTCAGGCTGGCCTCGAACTCCTGACCTCGGGTGATCTACCCGCCTCAGCCTCCCAAAGTGTTGGGATTACAGGCGTGAGCCACCGCGCCCGGCCAATTTCTTTCTGTGTTTGTTAGCAGCCCTGTCAAAGCTGAATGCAAGATGGCTTTGAGAAGAAATAATCTGTTAAAAGCAGAAGAGGAAATGTGCAGTAACATATTAGAAGCCTCAAACATTTTACAGGGGAAAAGTAGCATTAGATTTGTAGTGTTCGCTCTAGAAAAAATCAATTAGAGGACAGCCTTGAGGACAGAGAATTTTGGGTGATGGGTTGAATTGGTTTATGGCTTTGTTTCATTCTAAGTCTTCTGGGTGAATTTTGGAGATGGAGGAAATAGTCTGCAGATAGAATAGATACTTAGATATTTGTGTTTGGCTTTAAAAAGTCAACAAATGCATTGTCCTTAAGAGCTAATTATGTATCAGCTGGAGCACAAACAAAGGGACACTCAGCCCACAGAGTGGCTTGACTTACCCCTGAAAAATAAAACGTTTTGATAATTATATTAGTAATTAACTTTCTGGACTGGATGTCAAGCTCTTTCTCTAGGTCTTAATCACCCGGATCCTGACTGGAATAATGCATTTGATAAAGTGTCTTTGGGGCCAGTTAGTTTTCATAAAGACAACAGAGAGTACAGATGGGTAAAAATTCAAGAGTGTAAACAGAGATTATGATTCACGTTTACAACTATGCTGAGTTTTGATTTAGCACCAAATGGGCCCTTACAGGAGCCGTGTGTTTGGCCCACAGCCGCGCCTTCTGCTGGGGATTGGGACATTGGTGTTTGTGAACAGCAGGGAAGTTGCCCATATCTCTCCACATTTGGCACAATCCCTGGGCACCGTGTGTTTTTTTGGCTGGGAGAAGCTGCAATCAGAAATGGCAGTAGCTTTCCAAGTCCATAATGGCCCAACTCGAGTGATGCTAAGTCTGACATCTGTCAAAGTGACACGGTGGTCAGGAAAGGAACACACTCAAGGTGGCCTCTTATTACTGGCAGTATCAGCGTCCTCAGCATCTTTTAGGTGGAATCTGTGTGGGTTTTGGCAGAAAACTAGTTTGTGCAGTTGTTGATGTGGCGAGCTGACAGAGAAGTCCCTGCCTCCAGCAGCGCTCTGTTGATGATGACATACTCATCAGCATCTGAAGGCTAGCCCAGCTTCTGTGCCAGGTTGTTGTCATGACTGTGTGAATACAAGGAAAAGGGAGCCCAGGTGGAGATGCACTGAGGTCTTTAAGGAGTGGGAATGTCAATAAAAATACTACATATTGTAATTGTGAAAGGTCATAGCAGAACCATTGCTGGCCAGGTGCAGTGGCTCACACTTGTAATTCCAGCGCTTTGGAAGGGCAAGGCAGGAGGATCACCTGAAGTCAGGAGTTCGAGACCAGCCTGGCTAACATGGAGAAACCCCATCTCTGTCAAAAATACAAAATCAGCTAGGTGTGTTGGTGTGCACCTGTAATCCCAGCTTGTTGGGAGGCTGAGACAGGAGAATCGCTTCAACCTTGGAGGCAGTGATTGCAGTGAGCTGAGATCATGCCAATGCACTCCAGCCTGAGTACTAAAAAGTAAGACTCCATCTTAAAAAAAAAAGAAAGGGAACCATTGTTTATGGTACAGGAATGACTTATTATTCCTGGCAATTTTAATAGCCTAAACCTTCCAAATGTAGTTCTGGAAGAAGACAGAGGCAGTAAGAATAGTGTCCATTGTGACTAGCGCTAATGTCAGAGCCTCCTTTGACTGTCACAAGAGCAAGAGC